AATAAAAACGCGAAATGTTGTGGCAGGGGCGTGCTCTGCGAAGTTGAGGCGAGGAGAGATCAATAGGGTGTTTCAGTGCAGAGTTAAACAGCTTTTGTTTATGAATTCTTTAGTTTTAAAGTTTTTAAATGTTGTAGTGACAGAGACACTGTTTCGATTAAGTACGACGTTGAATCCATGAGTTAATTCTTAAACGCATTGGCGTCAAAGTGCAAAGTTTACAGTTTTACATATGCTGCATGTATAAATAACTAATTCCTTCAAAACATGTCTCTTATTGAACAAAAGAAAATACAATCTTAAGTCAGTGCAGTTTCCATACTGGGACAAATAAAAACCAGATTAATTTGTGGGGAAACCAGGCTAAGTCGTTGAACAGTGACCTTTAGATGTCACCATTTGTTCTGCTGTTATGGAAATATACCATGGCCAAACAGCAACGTGAAGCGTTTTTGTTTTCAACCTTCATCTTCTGTGGTTGACAGGCATGGAGGGCCCAGGGTCTTCAGCTGTCCACCACCAGCAATGAGGCCTGTAAACTATATGATGCCATCCTCACGCAGGTAACGACAAACCTTCCTCCTTTCATTAGTCCAAACTGATATAAAATTTGCATAACGGTACCAAACAGATTCCACTGGTAATGTCTACTTTTCTTGTTCCTCTAGTATGTGAAGTGGAGGAATGACGAGACCTTGGGAGGAATTGAAGGATGCATTTCCTCCCTCCAAAAAGTTGACCCCAACTTTGGTAAAAAAAAGATAAAAATTGCTAGAGTGTGTGTGTGTACACGCACACACACATACACACACACACACACACATACACACACATACACATCTGTGTGTGTATATATACTGTGTACATATGTTTATATATATATATATTGTGTGTGTGTGTATATATGTATACACACACACTGTGTACATCTATGTATATATATACTGTGTACATATGTATATATATATTGTGTACATATGTGTGTGTGTGTATGTATATATATATATATACACACACACACATATGTACACAGTATATATATATATATACACAGATGTGTATGTGTGTGTGTTTATGTATATATTTATATATATGTATATACACAGATGTGACCTACAGTATTTATACAGTTGTACAGTATACAGTTCTATATCAAGGTTCAGTGAATGAAAGACATTTCAGGCCATTGTGATTTGTAATAAAAAAAGTTAATTATGTCCTAGTAACATTAGTCCTTCTTGTGTACATTAGTACCAGGATCCTGCTGCATTTTTTATATATAAATGTAACATACTTGTTCAATAGAGCAGCCACACTACTGTAGGCAGTCTGTTATGTCATTTAACTTTTTTTTTCCTCCAATAAAGGTCAAGACATCTAGTTAAAAGAAAAACTGTGTTTATGTTTAACTAGATTTTTACTTTTCAACTAAGACAAGACCTCTGCCATTGAAAGAAAACTGCTGATTTCATCTTTAATTCATTACTGCTTATAAACTGCCAGAAATGGTGACCTTGCACTCTTTGCCATGACTTTCTGCTATCAATTATTTACCCAGAGCAATTATCTGTTGATCCTGAGATCATGAAGCAGAGGTTGATCCCTATCAGCCTCAGACTAGATAATTGTAAAAGTTCCCTGCAGGAGGAGCTGCAGTCATGCATTTTAAAAACTGCTGGTCATACAAATGTGACATGCAGGCAAAATGTGCAGGTTTGACATTTGTTATTACAAGGTAAATGTGGCAGTTGCTGGTCTATGAAACAGAGGAAGCTAGTTTGAGGCCTGGTTTATATGTAAATATAAACCCCAAGATAAAAACTATGATAAAACTAAACAAACAACTACAGAAAGGAAAGATGACAGTAAGACAAAATTGGATCATTTAATTTGTCTTGTGGTTTCTTTGCCCTCCCACTTGACCTGCAGTGGAGCGTGTGTTCTGTGACATATTTGCAACATTAATCCAATTAGCATCTGCTCCCCCATGCAGTTATGGGCCACGTGATCAGCACAGGACTGGAGTTGGTGTCAACAGCAAGTTCCCCCCGACTGAATGAACGTCTAGTCAGTGCAGTGAGGAAAACAGTGGAGCTGTCCAAAACCCAGGAAATCACTCCCAGAGAGAGGCTTCATGTCAAGGCAATGGAGCTTTTCTCACAGGGGTAAGACTGTCAGTCAGGGAGTTAGAAGTAAAGGAGTGACGGACTGTAACTAAAAATGTGCTAATGATTATCTAGCGTCACAGAGTACAGGGTAATATTGTGGTTGCACTACTGTAGTGGTTAGCACGCCTGCCTTGAAGTGGAGCCAAAGAGTCCGATTCCCAAAGGAAACAACATATTTGACACCTGCAAGGGGCATCCTGTTATAGAAGATCTGCTGTTAACACTAGTATTTCCCCATGTGGGATCAATAAATGTTCAAATTATTATTATTTTTATTACAAAGGATGAAGATTTGGAATATTTGGAATAATTTAACTTAATAGTTCTGAAAACTGTTTATTCAATTCAGTAATTTGACATTTGCAACAGGCGAGAGAGAGACTAAGAGCTAAAGATTTTTCTGTCTTCAATTCCTGTGAGTAGATCAGCTTATTGTTTGACTAAACAGGTCCAGATTTTAGTCAGATAATTGAATCAACAACATTATTTATCTGACATTAAACTTTATATATATTTTCAGGCCTTAGTCTAAAACAAAAGCAGAATAATGCCATTACTTTAGTTTCACTGATACCCTCTTTTTAGTAGGTTAAATTATACCACCATCAGATCATAATATTAGGTTTAATCCTTATGTCAATAACCATGATGGGCCTTGGAAATGTTCTTGGGATAGTAAGATAAGATAAGACTTTATTCATCCCATGGTGGGGAATTCACTGTAGTACTAACATGTAGTACTAACAGCAGGATATACATGTAGTACAACAGCAGGATAGACATGTACTAAAAATGCAATAGTGTAATAGATGGAATGCCCTCTGATCACATCCAGCCTAACTGACGTTTTTGGATGTGATTTTTCTAATGTAAAATATGTGTCTTGGAACAAAAGAGTTTGGAAACACTGGAATTAAGGGAACTCTCAGTTTTGTACTATTGTTGGCAAGAAAGTGTAGTTGAAATAACTACATCACATCCACAGTATATATTTGCTCTGCTCCCCTCCACCAGTTAGAACTGAAGAAGCCTCTTGGATGAGAGGCGAAACGTCTTCTTTGAGAAAATTTCACGTCTAGTTGCCTAACGGAACTCTTCAACCTTGAACATGACCTGGATAACTGAGACTCTTCATAGACAACTACAGCAGTCATTTTGGAATTATTCTACACAGCATTTATTGTACTGTGTTGTATGTTGTAGTTTTCTTACCTTTTGTTAGTGTGTCCCAAGTGTTTGTCCAACAGCTTTGTCTGTTGACTAAACTTGTTTAAATAGTTGTATTAGTTATATAAACTGCCTGCAGAGAACCAACAGATTTTATTTACTAGGAGTTAGTAGGTTTTCCAGGGAGATTAGGGTGTCTTGTCAACCCCTCTGTATGACTGCTGGATGCATTCACATGCTTCACATTCACAATATTCAAGCAAAATTTGATTTCCAGTCACAGACCAGCCGCTATAGGGCGTAATAAAATATATCCTGATTTTGTTTTGGTTTTTTTAATTCGAGCTGTATGAACGAATAAACAGACTTTGCTCCCTGCTTGGCAGGTGTGTAAAATTACCATCACAATTTCAATTTTAATTGGACTCAATGTAAATGCAAACCAAAAACTACATTTTTTAAAGAAAGTTATTACAACATGAGTTTAGCCCTGTTTTATCCATATTCATATGAGAAAATGTTATTGAAAGGCAAAACATCTGGTGTGATGTATTTCATGGCTTTTTAATTAGAATTTTTTAAAAAAAGTGTTAACCACAGCCACTGCTCTGCGAAACTAGAAAATATCTGTGTCCAAAGTTTTGTCTATTTTGGCCATAATTTATACATTTAATTCTCATGATCATATGGATGAAAGAGTTAAAAAAAGTAAGATGAATGTGGTTTGAGCATAAAAATCTTGTGAACCTTTTCATTAAAAAAAATAATAGATTCATGTAGGTAAAAGGTTTATTACCAGTTTAAAATCAATGCACTTAATAACGCAATGTTGAGACTGTGCAACAAATAAGGATGTGCTTCTTCTACATCAGTCTCCTGGTGGAGCTTGAAGCTGGCACTTTTTAAATAGTAGTCTATTAAGGGAGCCTTCTATAAGCCAACAACAGCTCCAGAGGCCAAGCCCAGGAATCTGATTCCCAGCAGGAGGTTTACCCAGAGCTTCAGAGCAACAATAGGCTACATAGTTCAACACTGAAATATAAAATAAACAAGAAAAAAAAGTAGCAACATGCCTGGAACACTATGGAATTGCAGACTAGATTTAGAATTAAATAAGAATATTCTTACTGAGGTTGCTAATGCTTTCCAAGAGGCCTGCAATTTTAAATATTTACCTGTATTCAGTTTGATTCTCTCACAATGTGTTTCTCTCTAGCAATATTTTGTTTCTTTCAGACAATTATCCAAGTCCTGTGATGTATGGGAAGACATTCTGGTTGATCACCCTACTGATTTGCTGGCTCTAAAATTTGCCCATGATGGCTACTTCTACCTGGGAGCCCAGGCCCCAATGAGGGACTCAGTGTCCAGAGTGCTGCCTCACTGGAAACCACACATACCATTGTCCGGGTACAGAAACCATTGCATTGTATAAAAAAATGTGAATTTTGTAGAGCCCCCATTATTAGTATTGTTGGTAGTAGTAGTAGTAGTAGTAGTATTACTATTGTTTTTGTTATTATTAATAACTGTGAGGACAGTACCAAGTTATGGACTGTGGCTTTTCCATGACGTCATACATACAGTACGTACGTGTATGTGTATTTGCATATATGTGTATATATTGTTCAAATCAGATGTGATTCTCTATAAATGACTGAGGTGAATAATTTTAAATTATTTTGGTTATTTTATATCAGTGTCCTGCTTCAAAAGTCTGCCTCTAAAGTGCCTTCATGTACCTTAATGACCAAGCAGCTTGTCACTGTCACTGCAGACCTGTGAGAATTGTGACATTGTAATTGGTTTTGACTTAAAGTTGTTTATTGTTGTGGCTTTTATGAAACAAATGCTATTCATTTTCATTATTCTGATTGATAGATTCCATTAAATGATAACTTGTTGATAATTTCATCCTTATTATGTTTTAATGATGGAGAAAAGGCTAGTGAAACCAGATTGAGATGGTTTAGACATGTGCAGAGGAGGGACAATGGATAAATTGGTAGAAGAATGTTCGAGATGGAGCTACCAGGTAGGAGAAAGAGAGGAAGGCCAAAGAGGAGATATATGGATACAGTGAGGGAGGACATGCAGATAGCTGGAGTCAGAGTAGAAGATACAGAGAACAGGGCAATATGGAAATCAATGATTTGACATTCCAAAAGAAGAAGAAGAAAAATATGTCATGTGTATGTTTGTCCTCAGTTATATACATGGATTACATTCCTTTGGCCTCATGGAGACTCATTTCTATGACCAGGCTGAGAAGACTGCCATGAAGGTGAGATTTTCCACTCACTTCGTCACACATTTCACCCCAGTCAGTGAGGCTGTTTTTGGCTGTCACATAAACAATAATAAAGAACTCATCCAATCCTCAACAGCACAGATGTTTTCTATAGTACTGAATAAGTAATACCTACAAAGTAGCCACAGTCGCAGTGTCTTTACATCTTAGCTAAGAAATAAAAAAAAAAAAACAGATTTAATCTTCTTTTGGAAAGTCACTGTATTCTCTTTTGTTACAAAGCATTTTTTCTCCATGCTGCTCATCCTCTGGTGCAGGGCCTCTCTCTGGTTCCAGATGATGCCTGGTCTGTCCACACTGTGGCTCATATTTATGAGATGAAGGCAGAGTTGGACAAAGGCTTGAAGTTCATGGAGAGCAGAGAGAAAGAGTGGCAAGTAAGAGTCCCATGGTTTTTTTAAATTTATTTATGGATTGTTTCCCGTAACCACGAGAATCTCAGTAATATAATCTCCTAGTAACATTACACAGCTGTACAAAGATAATATTTTTAAAAAAATGTATCATTGTTTTTCTACAGCTGATGTAATAAATGTCTTAAAATACTTAAATTTGATGGTAAAACTTGCAGATAACATACGATTTAAAAAAAAATTTCATCAACCCATCTCACCCATAATTTTTCACCATCTGACCAGAAATCATCAGCTAAATTTCAATTTTGCTGAGGAATTAGAAAAAATTGAATTTTTTACAAAATGCAGTAATTTAATGTGAAACTTGTAGAAAAAATATTTTGAATTTTTTGTACAAATATTTTCATCATTTTTTCAATATCTGAGCAACATAATGTGAAAATTAGGATTTTTACCAAAAAATTCCCCCAAATGTTTTTCTAAACATTTTTCAGAATGCTCTAATTTGATAAGAAACATAGAACATGTAGAACAGATACAATTTTGAAAAAACAAATTCAAAACATTTTAATCATAATGAAATCTGACCAACATGACAAGTTTCCCCAAAAATGTTTTCCCCCGAAATGCACTAAAATGCAAGA